AGGGAGACTCTTGGAGAACAACAGAAAATAGGAAGCAAATGGATATAGGATGACTCCTTATTTCTCCAAATAAAAAGTCTAAAATAAGAAGTCTCTTGGAGATGCTCTTACTATAGCTAAACAAGAACAATAAAAAAGATTGTAACTTTGCAAAATATGACCAAAATTATTAACTATTTACACAAATGGGCTTATCCTAAAATAACACACTACAAACATTTACATTTTGAAAGCATCCATAAGCAGGGCAACAAGCTGTAAATGGTACAAAATCCATCACCAAATCAAAAAAAAAGGGCTTTCTTTCTATTATTTTTAGGACCAAAAATAAAATAAAATAAAATAAAAAATATTCTTTTACTGTAAGTGAAATAAAATGACAGGGCAGCTTATATACACCACAAAATCGCAGATCCCCTTTAGAAATTTTCGATCTGAATCACATAATCTTTGTGCATCTCTGTGTGGCACATAGCACAAAACATTCCATTTAAAATAACATGTTATCTCAATATAATCAACCAAAGATAGCTAACTGGTAGCAAATACATTTTCGTAATGACATTGATAAGACTTTGAACACAAGAATAAAATAAAACATCCATATGGTACTACATGGTGAATTACTAAAATGACTCAAGTCATACATCTCAAGCCATACATGTTTATTTCAGGCCACAAAAGCATTTCAGGCCACAAAAGCAAACACACAGCTAGCTGCATCGTTGAGGAAGGAGCACCAAAAGCCAAAAGTCATCTCTGAACCAACAAACTCCATCATAGCCTGCTCAAAATGCCAACAACCATCATATCAACAATCTGAAAAAAGGAAACGAATGGCAAGTCATCTTATTGAAAATAATTACAGGGCTAGAAAACAATTCCATGAAAGATCTTACATGAGGTTTTTATGGAAAACAATTAGTGGGGGCCAAAACGTTGCCAAATATGCTCAATTAAATCATATTTTAGTTGAGTATGAACTGAGTGAGCACGGATAGCAGAATTTCTACGTCGGACATCATTGAAGCATGGGTTACTGTTTGAGGCCTTTTGCACTTCTGGAGGAAGAACAATTGATGCTCCAGGAATTACATTCAGATCAATAGACTCCTCAACCATTTCTCCCTCATCTTCTACTATCATGTTGTGTAGAATAACACAAGCTTTCATGATTTGTCTAATAATCCTTATGCTCCAAGATCTTTCTGGACGACGCACAATGTTGAAGCGAGATTGCAGAATGCCAAAAGCACGCTCCACATCTTTCCGTGCACCTTCTTGTTCAGATGCATACACCTTGTGCTTTTCTAGTTGAGGTGAATTTATAGACTTCACAAAGGCTGCCCATTCTGGGTAAATTCCATCGGCTAGGTAATAACCAGTGTTGTACTGCCTACCATTCACAGAAAACTGAACCCGATGAGCTTCACCCTTTATCACCTCTAGAAACAAAGGGGACTGATTGAGCACGTTGATGTCATTATTAGACCCAGCAACACCAAAGAATGCATGCCAAATATGGAGGTCACGTGAAGCTACTGCTTCAAGGATGATGGTTGGGAATCCATACCGACCGGTGGTATATTTCCCCTTCCATGCTGTTGGACAATTTTTCCATCGCCAATGCATGCAGTCAATGCTACCCAACATTCTAGGGAATCCACGAGACTCTCCCACTTGGAGCAGACGCTCCATGTCTTCAGCTGTAGGGCGTCGTAGGTACTCGGTGCCGAAAACTTCAATCACCCCTTGCACAAAATTTTCCAAGCACTCAAGGGCAGTGCTCTCTGCAACCTTCAAGTACTCATCAAGCATGTCAGCTGCAGTCCCATATGCAAGCATACGGATTGCTGCTGTGCACTTTTGCAGTGGTGAAAGCCCCAGGCGATTAGTACAGTCTACCCTCTGAGTGAAATAGGGAGACCAACTACCTAGGGCATCCACAATGCGTAGAAAAACATGCCTTCTCATCCGAAATCTTCTACGAAACATTGAATCAGAATACAGAGGATGTTCAGAAAAGTAATCAACCACAAGTTGTTGATGAGCACCTTCGCGATTCCTGTTAATGTACTTTCTGGTTGCACTTCTACGCCTAGATGAACTACCTGCCGTCTTTGCCTTAATCTTGGTAAGAATCCGGCCAGCAAGAGAGTCAAGGGCTTGTTGCTCAGCTAAGAACTGTTCTAAGGGGTCTATAGAATCATCGGATTGATCCGACATGTTTGGAGAAGTTTAGAAAGGGGTATAGAGGTTGGGGAGTTTAGAAAGAGGTACATGGGTTGGAGAGTTTGGGTTGCTGTGCATATATAGATGTAGCTATACTGGTCATGTATATATACACACACAAAGGACTAATTTGTTTTGACTACTACACTGAACTATAATAATGACACTGTGTGATAATTCACATAGCATTGGTACTAGATATTGACTGATTGAATTTAGTGATACTGCATGATAATTCACTTAGCATTGGTACTAGGTATTGACTGATTCAATTTAGTGATACTGCATGAGAATTCACATTGCATTGGTACTAGATATTGACTGATTGAATTTAGTGACACTGCATGATAATTCACATAGCATTGGTACTAGATATTGACTAGCTGTAAAAAAAATAACAGTAAACAAAAATGAGAAAGTACCTTAGTTATTGTTGCTGGCCAATTTCTCCCTTAACATCTTCAGGGCGAGGACATGCTCAGCTCTAACATCCTCTGTCATCTCCCTAATGTCCATACACAAGAGTTTTTGATATGATTCCAGTAAAACAGACTCCCTCCTAAGCCTTGCTGTTTCAAACTTCTTATCAGTAATGCGTTCCTGTGCCTCTAAGAAGTCTTCCTGTCTTTTTTTTTGTTGTCGCTTCAATGTCAATGAATTTCTTCAAGTCGTCATCTAAACTGACATCATCATCATTTTTTACTCTTCCTTTACTATTGCGTTGTTTCTTAGCTTGATTTGTCCCTATAGGACGTTCCTTCTCTCCTACATCTGAGATGTCAGTTGTCTTGTCTTCATCCTCCGAACTCCTTTTATTTGGTTTTTCAAGTTCTTCCAAAACTGCATGCCACTTGGGTTCATCACGAAGAATCTTCCAGCAGTGCTCAACTGTGAATGGGCCTTCCTTAGGATAGTCATCCAAATAAAACTGCTTAGCCCTGTCTCTTAGCTGGTCATCTGAATATCCACTAAGATAGATTGATGTAGCCTTCTTCCAACTTGCACAAAAAAATCCCACCCATCTCTTAATTTTTCCCCAGCGATCCTTGAGATGTTTCACCTCTCTTTTTCGGTTTGCAGGTGTAGTACTATTGTAAAACTCATGCACATCACCCCAATACTGGTCATTTTTCTTGCAATTCCCATTAATTGGGTCATTTGAGTGAATCAGCCATGCACTAACCTGAATTTAGCATACAAGATTAGTTGTATGTTCATATATTTGTGAAAGTCCAAAAAAGAAAGTGAGTGATACAATTTTACTTACTAGCCTCACATCCTCATCTGGATCAAATACAAGACGTTTTGCAGTCCTGACATCGTTTCCATCATCTAAGTTGATGATAGTTGTGCATTTCGATCTCTTTTTAGCATTTTGGTTTTCTGAGTTATTTTTTGGTGGTGCTAATTGAGATTCCTTTCCCATTGGTGGCCATGGTGCCGAAACATAAGGAATGAACGGTTGTCCAGCATGTAAAAGGCCCGTAAAACCACCAGGTGGATAGTAATCCATACCACTGAAAAATCAAGCAACCCATATCCTTACTTCTAATGAAACTAATATAGTTAGTGAACTAACTATTTTTGAACATACTAAACCGGCAACGAGTACACCAAGAAATTTATATAAAAAATGAAACTTACCAATTTGTAGGCGTGGCTGCTGAAGGTGTGAACTGTGGCAAAGGTCCAGGATACCATGCTGCAACATAAGCCATGAATATATAATTAATTTCAGACGAGGGCAACAAAAGCCATGAAGATTACAGAGGATCTGGAACAAACTCTCGAACTTGCATTGAGTAATACCGTACTGTATTGTATATATTATTAGTAGCAGTAGAGGTGTAAACAAGCCAATCCAAGCTCCAGCTTGAGTCGTTATCAAGCCGAGTCAAGCTCGTTTATCAAAATTAACGAACCGAACTTGAGCCTTAACTAGCCGAGCTATAGAGAACTATACAAAAATGGTCCTATTTTTGAGTCTTAAACTAAACAAGCTCTAGCCTCGCCGAACCAAGCTTAGAGCAGCACGTCTCTGAGCCCAACAATTCAACAACGAGGGACAAAGATTTTGTTGAATTTATTGATAAAACCAGAAAGAGCACTGTCCATGTAGTTGTATTGCTGATTTTCTTTTTAACAGAGTTCTATTTTTTTTTTTTTGGACATTACGCATCGACCATCTGCATAACATCTTTCATTGCTTAGCTGTAAAATTTAGCCCCAATTTCATGTCTGAGAAGATCTTCTATTTATAGGTCATAGAGTTTGTGCAACACATTATTGACCATTCTGGCCAACGCAAGGCAACTGCATCAGAAGCAGCAGTGCGTGTCGTGAAGCAGCAGGCTCGGCGGCTCGGCCGCGTCGCGGTGGCCGGAAGCTCATGCTAACATGGATCTACTACTGTTGCCGCTCTAGCTAACATGGATCTATTGAGTACTCTTATATAAAGAAATAAATCCCCAAGTGGATTACCTGGTTGGCCTCCTGGATTAGGACCAGTAGCAGGAATGCGAGCAGATGCATGAAGTGTAGGAGCAGGAGCAGATCCAAATTGATATGCAGGAGCAGTAGTCAAAGCAGATCCGTCCTCATCTGGTGGCGGAGCCATTTGTCGATAGGTTCGCCGGCTCATCACCGGTAGTCGCGACTTCTTCCGCGCCGCACCCTATCCGCCTCCACGCTGCGCCCTCTCCGCTGCCTCTATTGGAGACGATTCGATCTAGGGTTCAGAGTGGGGAAGAACAAATGAAAAGGGAAGGATATGGTGACAGACTGACCTTGCTTTTGCAGTTTCAACAAATAAATCAGAGGAGATGAGGCGGGATTGAGGAGGATTTTCGCGCGCAGCCATGGAGGATTCGCGCCCAAGTGTAGGATTTGCGAGTGGAAAAGCCAGTAGCCGGCGATTAGACTAGCGAATTGATGCATCGTACTGTGTGCGAGATAAGCGACGGGCGAGTCGCCGGCTCGATTTTTTTTGCACGTTCTCTTTCCTCCACATAGGATGAATGCTGACATGTACACCCAAATAGCTAGCTGACTCAGCCTTGTTGGAGACGCCCTGATAACTAATTTGACTTATTATACATTCATACTTATTTGTTTTTCCATGCTATTTAATTCTCAAACTCATCTTGCTTTAATTATCATGTCCAAAAGTAATTTTTCTCTTTGTATTAAACCCACTAGTACGTACCCCGTGCAATGCACGGGACATAGATATTAAATGAATTATTTTCAGACGACTCTGTTCGTTTAAGTCTAAAAATCAATAGGGTTATCATATATTTTTCACTTGTATATTAGGGCTAGCTTGTAAAGTTATTAATATATTATCTATACATATTTAATTCTTTTTTTATCGGTTATACATATTTATTTTTAATTTGAAAAAAAAAGGTTTGGCCAGTTGAGTATTAAATCAGCACTAATTAATTTATTAAGCAAGTAAAGACGCGAAGCAAGACAATCTAATTATCCAACAATTTAGTGTAATATATAGTTATTTCCTTTATTAAACATGATTTTTGAAAATAAAACAACATTATCTCCAAATAATAGGCAACATTCATGGTTTTGTTGAAAACCAAAATAACAAAATCCTTAATTAATGGGTAGCATTTAATGCTACTTTTTTTATTAAAAAAAATAAAAGAAAAGTTACTAAGAATGGAATGTAATTAATGCAAAATGATTTTGACCAAAATTTGACCTGCTATTTTTGAAAAATGGTAAATCTTTTTATATATATATAGATTTCTCATCAAAATCAAAATAATACTCTTGGAATATTGTTTTTACATCAAATTTTACAAATTAAACACATTATTATTTTATATTCTATTTGAATAAAATATTGTAGAATCATCCCATTGTTTGAATGTATTATAATTATTTTTAGAATGTTGATAAATTTTTTAGAATTTTTTGAACGACTATATGAAAATATATTATCAAAATCGAAATTGTATTTTTTTCAACATTATATTATTGCCACCAATTTATCAGAATAATATTTTACCCTTAAATAACATTAATGTGTCTATGATAAAGTTTTAGAAATATTTTTACGTGAGAGTGAATTATCAATACACTAGTTATAATTTTATTTTATTATTATTTCAGTTTTTAATATTAATGTTTTTTTAATTGTTTATATATATGTATTAATAATTTACTCAAATATATTATAACAAAATAAAAAAACATAAAATATATATCTTTTAGTATTGAAAATTTATTAAAAAATGTGGTGTAACCATTTTTTTTTTTTTTTTTTGTTAAAAAAATGTGTTAAATGGTATGCAAAACCATTATAAAAATATAATGTATATCGATAAACAAAAATGTGTAAAAGAAAAACATGTATTATTCAAATAACATGATATGTAATGCAATTTAAGAACTGTTTTGAGTATAAAAACCGTGAAAACGAAAATTACCGTTTAAGTGGCAAGAACTCATCACTAACAAAAAAAAAAAAAATGAGAAATTTCGAAAAATAAATCAATAGTTATTCCAATGCTATTATTTCAATGAAAAAATTTTCAGCAGGTTCCAACATAAATTCCCAAAAATAAAAAAAGGTTGAACGAGTTTTCAATATTTTTTATTCGATTTTGATGATTTTATTGGTAATTTTCAATGGTTGAGACTTGGGTGGAAAAAAAATGCAACAAATATTATATATTCCCCTTAGAAATTCATACAACAATAGACTATTAGAAAAACGTTGTTGAATTCATCAAATTCCAACTAAAATTTCAGGAAAAATATAATTTCAATGAAATATTATAGTGTTAGTTTCCGTCGGAATATCTGTTGAAATTTTCCAACTGAATGTTACACAAAGCGTGAGGCTTTGAGAGTATACAGAATGCATGTAATGTTGTGTGTGTCTCACTTGCAGCTCTAAGTCCTATTTATAGGACTTCCACCTCTAAGGGATAACCAGGAGTCACAACAG